AAGTCGCACAATCTCTGGGTCATCTGGCTGCACCTTTCAGATCATGCCATCTGCCAAGTTGCAGCAGAATGTCCCCACCTCATCCCTCGCAAGCAGTCGCACAATCAATCCACGCTCCTGCATCATGCCCACTCCCGGACTCCCTACCCTCCTCACCTTGCAGCACACGGCTCCTCTGGCGAGAAGAAAGCAGCAGCTTGGGAAGTCGAGGAGGGGCACAACCTAACTTCGAGGGATCCAGCGGTAGTAAAGACAGCTAGACACAAACATCTCGGAACACTGCGTCGCCAAATCTCCCAGGAATCGCCGGGCAGTCCCTGGTGGCACTGTGCTCCTGTCTGCCTCTACTGGGCGTACAGGATGCATCAGGCTGTTCGGGAAGACGGACCCTGCCTGTTCCAAAGCCTCCAGCATCTGCTGAAAGACCTCTCAGGCTGCCCACACAGTCACACAGCATACACGAAGAGCGAGCTCAATCCCCGAAATTTCTCTTCGAGTTGCCTCGGCGTCCATCTCGCGGCCAAACACACGCTGCACAGCTTCGGCGCTGAGGTGAATGACCAGCTCGGCCTTGTCCTGGCAAGCCGCACTACTTCAGGATGGCTGTGTCCACCCGATACAAAATATCTTAATGAGTGCCTCTGCAGTTCGTCGACGCCGCAGCTCTTTGTCAAGCTCGCGGATACTTCGAAGATCTGCGAAGAGGGAAGTGCGGACAGACTGGGACCCTCCTCTCGGCAAGAGTTGCTACAGAAAGAAATGCAAATCAGGAGCATGAGCTGCCTGTTTGGCCGCCGCTTCTTGCAGCTTTCTCCAAAACATTTGTCGACCTGATGACACTCGCGGCAACTAGCGGTGACCATGGCGATTCTCTGGCTCAGGTCTCGAGCAATGCGCTGGTGCCCGGGATCTCCTTGCTCCGTTCCACCTGCCTCCAGGCAGTTTGAGAATTGCAGCTACCGATGGTGACAGAGGCGCGGCGGCCCTGGCCGCCCTAGGCCTGTTGAAAGCAAACTTCGCGGGAGCATTGAACTCATTCTTGTGAATAGGCTTCAGATGACATCCGGCCACACGGGAGCGAAACCTCAAAACTCTTCAGGCAGATAGCATACTCTCAGCAGCTCAGCATGCACATCTCATCCGCAACATTCCGCAACGCTTCACCGTCTTGACGTGAACTTTGCCATCTCATTTCAAATACTCCAGACTATGAGAGCCTCAGCCGGCTTTGTTTGTTACAACTGCTTGGCAGAAGGCTCGTCATAGCTTGAGGTTGTGGTGATCGCACGCTTCTTGGCGTCATCGACCGTGTCCTGTCATCTGTCAGGGTCGCCAAAACCGCACGGACGCAACCAACGCCTGTCCCGAATGGTCATTTTAACTGTAATCTTCCAGCTAATCAGAACACGGAACAGGACTGTGTGGCCACTGTCGCAACTACCCACTCCTGCAGCCAATACAGGACAGGCTAGCCCTCTTCCAGTCTTCTTTCACAGCATCGGCAACTTCTTCCTTCATCTTATCAAATCGGAAGGCTTTGGCATCGTACCTTTCGAGAGCGGATGCAGGATGTCCTACCCAGATGCTGCGTACGCAGAAGCAAAACGAGATGCATCTGGAAGTGAGCAAATCAGGGGCACTGCTGGAGCCGATCTTCCTTGATTATAGGCATTTCTCGGTGGAGACGCGTTCCGAGGGAAAATTATGCAGAGAACGAATTCGCAAGACCGTGCGTCTTGAGCCAAACGCCGTCGAACGCGGATCTCGTGGAAAAGAATCAAGATCCGCATCTTCCATAACTCGAGCTTGCACCTGGCCAGCGGCATCCTCGCATGCAGGGATCAAGCGCAGGAGCTCGGGCAAGACCACCTGACGTGCGGGCCACACTTTGGGCTACCGGCATAGTTCGACGCATTACGTACTTATGGTTGAAGCCGTCCGGCCTCCGTGTACAGATCCTGTGTAAGTCCATCCACTCGGGCAACTTGCATCAGGTGAGCTCCTGGCTTAACGGGCCAAAACCAAACTCTGTGACCATCTGCTCTGGCCTAGTAGCAGTCGCAAGGAGTAGCGATGGTCATCCAATTGCCACGCCTGAGCCCGGGCCAAGGATTAGTTCAGACCTGGCTCCAGTCTGTCGACTATGAAAGGCCTGCATCGCTGATGGCTCAACTTGGACCTCAGCATCGGACTGTCATTTTAAAGGAGGTCACAACATGAAGGCTTCAATCGGTCGGTCGGCGGTCATACGTCCCCCCGGCAGCACAGGAAAGCTCCGGCACATCGATTGATGCCAGGCAACTGGGTGATGTACAAAGCGGCCGGATAGCTAATTAAATTGTTACGCTAGTTCACGGTCAACGTACGCAAAAACCTGTTTTGAACCAGTGTCGAGTGTTCAGCTGCCAAGTAGCAAACAAGTTTTCCAAATCTTTTGGAATGCCGATTCGACAACGATGCTCCCACGCAGACCGTCGTAAGTACGTGTCATCATTGTGATCTCCCAAGCCTTGATCTTCAACATGAAAAGCATCGCAACGAAACCCTGTTAGATTTCAGTGGCAAACAAAGACCTGAAACCGAAACAAGTCAAGAAAGCGGTCGTTTTTTATGACAGATTCCAATCGAGTCTCGGTAGACTCGGTAGATGAATCTGGCAAAGGCGTCTTGCACAGGCCAATACAGTTTTTCGCAGCGCAACGACATCGACGTCTCCGTAGCACCACCGTTTTGTAAAAGCGAATTGGATGTCCACGGGTCGTCTTCGATGGGAAGAACTGCATCGAAAGTGTGGCAACAAGTGCGACAGCGACATCCGCCACTAGTTGGTGGGATCAACAGCGTCACCTTTGTGAATGGCGGCATCAGCATTGAAGCTTCAAAACAAATGTCGCCTTGTCGGTATGCATCTTGCCAAGATGTGCCGTGGAGTCGACGTGAAGGTTGGAATCGATTCAACTTATCATTCAAAGCAACACCCTGGTCGAGAGCAAAAGGGCAGCGGCCTGGGTGAGGCGGAGCCGGTGCCAGAGGCTCACGGCTTCCCGGAATGTGGTCAAGAGGAAGTTCCTGTGCACAGTCTGGTGCAGCGCGTCACGGTGACGTGTGCACAGATGTGCAGTGCAGTCAGTACAGTGCATTTCGTCGTAAGGTCCGCACAAAGCACCCAGAGCTCCTTCCTGAAGCATGTGAAGCTTGTCCTGCATGTCAGAGTGGCTGTTAGTTAGTCTAACCTAGACCGAGTCATGGTGGGCAGTACTGCCATTCCATACAAGAGTTGCTTCAGTCCTTGACCACCTGCAGTAGGAAGTATCGTAGAAAAAGACCTCGAACTGGATGCTGCACCTTCGATGGCTCAGCACACTCAGCCGGGGAATATATGTGCTACATTCCTTATGCACATCAAAAAATAGATTCAGCCAGCTCACGGCGCCAACCATCGACTCCATATCGCGAAGGATTTCGTCTGGTGACTCGTCAGAGTCAGGAGCCAGCATTCGCCTGCAGTGTCGTAGCCAAAGAGGGGTGCGGTTGGCAGCAAATCTTATGACAAAATAACTGCAGACCCCCACACGACGCCAACCGTCACGAGCATGTAGAGCCGTGGAAGGCAGTTCCCTTCGTACTGGACGATCTCGAAAACCTGCCAGACGTATCTGTGGTGTTTTGGCAGTGGTTGTTAGCAACGCTCTTCGCCCGTCCTCCTCCAGGGAAAAGCCGTGCCTGACTGTTCTGTGACACCGCATGTAACTGTGTTGTCAAGGGGGGCAGGGGCCTCGCGGTCTCTCGGAGATAAGCTCCAAGGTGCTGCAGCTCCAAGAACACCATCGAGTACCTCGAAACCCTTCGCATGTGTGTCAGTTGAGCTTTCTGCTGCTGCCTGCGACGAGTCAGACCATCATGACTATAACTAAATCACTGAGCAAGGTGCAGTTTGTAATAGCTCGTCGGAGATAACCGACATGACCGCAACCTAAAAGCAGCACGTGACAGGATGCACCCTGAGCAACGATTCTAGAAGCCAAGCTTTCTGCTCGTTGGCCATGCATAGGGAGTGCCGGACAGCACTGTAAAAGTCGCCGTGTTGCACTGCCTGGTGATGCACAGCTCCAAATCACAGAAGCCACTTGCAAAGCTCTGAGTCTACTCAACGGCCAGTTGGCACGGCTGATCACACTGTTGCCCTTTTAAGCCGTCCTTGCGAAGATAGAAGCGGTGCTCAGTAGCAAAGCCCACGGCATCCTTGAGAAGGTTCTCCTGATCACTAGGTGCTAAAGCGTAAGGAGCAAGCATGTAGAGTGAAAGCAAGCGCGAAGCCTCGTCAATGTTAGGCTCAGCGGCAGCGGTCATCTACGCCTTCTCGACATTGTGCCAGGCGGGCTGGATAAGGACACAACACATGAGCACGGTACGCGTCACGTTATCCGACTTCGATGCTGACAGGAGCTGACAGTTGCTTTGACTTGCGACCATGAAGATGGTGCAGACGTTTGTTGACAAGACATGTTCTGGTGACTGAAGGAAGGGTCAACGACGAGCGATGCAGGTTGAGGGGGCAATTTGCCTATTTGTTCTTTGGATCTCTGCCTGCAAACCACTGCACCACGTGATTTCTTCCACGCGCACGAAGAGCATCACCGAGCTGTGTGCTTAAAGTGGCCCACACAACAAACAGTTAGGCCAACATGCTCATCGGCATGGGAAAGTTTAAAATTCGAGGACATTCCCAGCTAGAGGTCGCTCCTCTCTTCTGCTGTCTGGGAACTGAGATTCTGTGCATTGTGATACAGCCTCCACAGCGCCGATGCAACAAAGCGTGGCTTGGAACATTTGGCAAAACAAAGATTGCTGCTCCGGCCTTATGGGCACGGGCAAATCACGCAGTTGCAGCTGCTGCAGGCACTGGAAGCACGCAGTGAAACGAACCACCACCCTCGTGCAACGAATTCGGTACAGCTCGGTGTTGCGACAACCATAAAGACAGAAGCTCTATAACTGACTCAGATCATGCGGGAGCCTTCCAAGAATTCTTCCACCCAGCGCTCTGCCTGCATTAACATTGCTTACCCGTATTCATGACGCCTGGCAGCTGGCAGGACAACGCAGCCTTGAGCCGGGGAATAGCTGGTGCTGGAACCTTCTTGGGCAGAGGCACCTGAGTGTTTCGGCGGCTTCAGCCGTGCCCAAGCCACTAAGCCAAGCTCTGCGAGCGAGGCACTCCAGGGACTGCCTTCGCTTTCATAAGCTCTTGCATATCGACCTCAGCCCAGAACATCTCAGCACCCAGCACACGGCAGAGAAAGCACGGCTACCCACCAAGATCGCGCCGGGGTGCAGAGCCGATGGGCTTGTCCAGGGCCGCCTGCTTGAACGCACGCTCCTCGCTCCAGGCCTGCAAAGCAAAACTGACACTGCATGAGAATTTGAAGGAACTCATATTTACTTCCTACTGCCGTTCCCCTCTCTCTCCCCTCCTATGCTTCTGCTTCTGCTTAAACTTGTGGCAGTCAGGCAGGCCTTGTACCTGGTTTGCACGTAAGACTTGAGCTTCCCGGACCATCCGGCAGCCTGGCAAAGTGCAATTATTGCAATTGCAGGCGCCTGATCACGACAGATTCCCCTGCAGTTCCTAATCGCGAAAAACCTGCCAGAAAGACTCGAGCTTTCTGCTTTTGGTCGGTTTCCCCCTTCTTGGCTTCACTTGCTAGAAGCTCTGCTTGCTTTGCAGCCAGTCGAGCCCTTTCAACTTCTGCATTCCCTGGCCGCGGCCAGAAGCAGTTGTACAAAGTTGGTTGCTATAGATCTCCAAGGCTTAAACAGTGCACACTTTTGGTCCGAGGTGTTGGCGGAACTCCTCGCGAATTTTCAACACCTGGGCGGCACACCACAAAGCGCGGGGGCCTGCTACAGTCACATTGGGTTACTGGAACAAGGACCGGGCCTGGCTTGCCCAGTGTGACACTTGCTGGAATCTTCTCAGCAAGACCTCGCAGATTCGATGTGTATGACTTCTAGAGCGTGAAAGTGCATCGTTGGGGCTGGCCTCGGGATCTCTCATGTGCTTGATCCTCGGAGATGCAAAAACGGGACTTCCGTATCGAATATGACGGTTCGGCAACCAGCAAAGCGCTGAAGGGCTCCTCTTCGCACGCTCCAGAGCTTCCTCTGTACTCATCACTGCTTTCTTGGCCTCCACATTATAACAGGTGCCGTCTCACCGTCCAAGCTTTGGCAAGAGCCCTGCAAACTCACGAGCCTTCATTTTGCCGAGGATGTCAATGCTCAGGCGCTCGGCATCCTGCTTCTTCCTCTGCTGGGTTTCCTGGCCAGCTCCGGCCAGCGTCGCTGCTTGGGTGGGAGACAACATTATGAAGCCTGCCAAAGCTCCGCTTCCCTTCTTTCATCCTGTTGCAGGAAAGGTGTCGGTCAGATGACAGAGTGAGCTGACAGTTCTGGTCCAACTCGCCCCAGGCCTCCTCTGTTCCAGGAGTCACGCGGTACAACTGCAAGGATTGCTGGTGGGTCGCGAAGAGGCTCCGTTCATTTTTGATCAGTGCGATGGTACAGGCTATGCATGATGGCAAAGTGACAAGGTGACAGTTGTGCTGCAGGCGGCAGGCTTCGACAGGGATGCATCTATGCACTGTGCGCCTGCCAGTGTGTACATGTTAAAGACATAGTAGGGACCTCGTCCTCTTCTTCCGGTGACAGTAGCTTTGCGCGCTCCTGCCGGATGATCGAAGCGACAGCTGTCAACCCTCACTGCACATGCATCCTGCCTCCTCTTTGCACTCGAAAAACTTGGGACGGAAGTCGATCTGAACACGCAGGCTGCCACCTTGCTTCCATTTAAACGAAACTGCACCCATTTAGGATGCTGCTGGGCTGGGCCACTTGCGGCAGCTCAAGCGAAGCGTTCGCACCACCTGCAGGAGCGCGGGAGAGGGTTGTCGCAAGTGCTTTGTGTGAAATCGAATCGCATGCCAGGGGTTCCGTGACCGGCTCGCTGCCCCACACTGCAGCTCTCAGGTGTCGGTAGCGAACAACGACACAACCAAGCCTGTCCAAGGGGACACTGCATGTACCGGACAAAATCCGCTCAAACAGCCGGATTCACGGCAGGTGCGTCCGTGGCACCAGAGGCTCAGGCCTTTCACGATTGCACCCTGAAGCGGTCTTCAAACTCAAACCGTGTCGGTTTGTAAGCCAAGCGCACGTCGCATCCACTTCGTGCCAAGACCTGATCCAGTTCAGCTGATTCATCATCCATACCTGTGAAACCAATAACCCACAAAATAAGCGGTAATTTGAGAATAACCTGGTTCTATGACGTTTAACCCTGAAAATCCCGGTTTCTAGCTTCTTCCCTAGATTTCCTGCCTCAGAGGCCGGGTGGCTGGATGTGGACTGCTGTGAGCAGTGCTGTGCAGGCTCAGCTCAGGACATGTCATGCCGAATCGTAGTTTATGCTCAGCAATCCACCCAGAACCTTAAAACTTGTAAGCCTTTCAGCGATCATATTCGGTGTTCGTCCTAAATAAATGTATATATGTCGGTATAGATCAGTAGCCGCCCTCAATATGTGGATCAAGCCCACATCAATCAATATAAACTCAAGCTTGCTGGGAACCACAGCACTCGCACACGCATTTTGCTGTGCATGGGGATGGCTGCCGTGTGCTCAGCTTCTTCCACCCATGCAGGGCCTGCAAACGAAAGCCGGGCTGATTGATACAGCATTGCAGGTGCATGCCTTGCACATGAGCGAGCCACCGTGTGATCACATGCCGCAGATTTTGCTACAGCAGCACAGGCCTGTCTAGTTCTGAGTGTGCGCAGCATGCCAGTGAAGTTGCCCGGCTACAAGCTGGATGGGGTGTCGGAGGCATGGGCCTCCAGCGCCGAACTTCTCGGGCGCATGAGCACGAAGAGACGCCTCATCGAGGCACCGGCTGAGGAGGAGGTGAAGTGTTGCAACAAGCACGTCTCACACAACCATAATGTGCTACGTCCTCTGTTGGAAGCTGTTGCCGAACAACCGAATTGGGAGTTATTCCACTTGGATGCTGTGTATGCGCAGTGCCTAGCCAGCATGTTGTTTTCACATAGGATTGGCAGTGGCACTTGTACATGGGCTTCTCACTGCTTCGAATGTAGGATAGCTTGGTGTTGCAGCCCAGGCTTGTGAGTATTCGCAACAAGATGAAGGTCCCGAACAACCAGGACCAAGTGAGGTTGGATGCGACCTGGGCCAAGAGTATGGTATCGTTCGTGAAGATGAAAGTCCGAAAGGGCCAATCGGCACGAGTTCCTAGGCCTCAATATACACGATGTTCGAGCAATGTACCCCAGCTACCCAAGTCTGTCGGAGCTTCTGGCGAGCCCCGCACAAAATCCCCTCCTGCAGCTCAGGATCCCGTCTTCTTTGAGCTGCAGCGCATCCTGGATCCAGATTTGCCCCCGCCAACTATCAGGGAGCCGCAGCCTGCTGAAGACCAGGACATCTATTGCATGGTTCGCTTCAAAAGCCATTTAATCTAGAAGTGAACTGGGGGACACATACCGTAATGTGGCACACACAAACACATATGTATATCATGCACACATGTGTGCATGCATGTGCATGCATGTGTACATTAATTTATATATAACGTAATGCACATGTGCATGCAACTCTAGAGCAGCTGAGGCTGCATGTTGTGCACATGTATGACCGCATGTCTGACTTATATATAGTGCCATATGATGCCAGCTAAATGAATGAAGTGTGATACACTGCAGGACCCGGCTACGGAGGAGGATGACGAGGATGCCGACGATCGGGGCGACGGTGATGACGAGGAATCGGACGGTGCCGCAACGGGTGTTGAGCGGTCGGATGATGAAGAGTTGGAGGCTGCGGAGCCATCCGATCCGGAGCCACATGTTGAGGCTTCAGGGTCATCCGGGCCGCCGGATGCACGGGTCGCGGCTGCATCGCGAAGCAATCGGCTTGAGTTCATGGCAGGCGGCATCATTATCGAGGACAGTCCGGCTACGGACCGCCACGGCAATGCGGAGCACCTGCAGGGGAGTATGCAGAGGCTGCAGAGGATGCAGCACTTGAAGCAGCAGATGGAAGAGGCCAGGGAGGCCCTGCAGCGGCACCCGGTATGCATCAGGATTCCCACCAACATCTTGCAACATGCATATATATGTTTCTATATCTCCATGCATGTTTTATATGTATACACTTAAGAATTCGCGCAATTTAGCTTAGGTCGACCAAGCCTGCAGAGAAAGTGACTTTCACTGAGAACCCGCCAACAGGTGGGTTTGGGGCCCATGTGTGCATGCATTCGCAGTTTGTTGCGGTGGGACTGCTCCTCATCTTTGCCTGTCTTGCTGGATGTATATATGAGTATATAGGTGTGGCTCCCCGGGCGCTCACCTTCGCCCTGGACAACGATGAGACGCAAGTGCAGGCTGGAAGCCTGCATGTTTCCTATGTCACCAAATACGATAGGGATCAGGTTCTTATACTGAGCGATCTACATGTATATATATGTGTCCAGCATCGACCATTATTAAGCTTGCTCTAATTTGCACAATTTTGTCTATATAGAAAAAAAGGCATGCTTTCGCCCGCAAGGATGCAGAGATGCCGTTTGCCAAGGCAGAGGACGTGCCAATCCCGAGCCGCTCCCCTACACCAGAGGTTGCACAAGGAACACCGCCCCAGACTCCGCCTACACATGGGCGCTTCAAGAGTGATGATGAGGAGGAGGCCGGACCGAGATTCGCGATCCCGGGGTCACCGGCTCCTGGGTCGCCTATGGGGGATGCTCCTATCCCGGCTTGGGCGAGAAGGGCGAGATCTCCTTCGAATGCCTCGACGGACTCCGCGGAAAGGCTCCGTCGACGTTGTGCCGAGGTGCGCAACAGGGTGAGTGTGCGCAAGGATGAGGTGCTCACCCGCCGCCAGCAGCTTGCTGGGCATCCAGAGGGCTTTTGGACGGCAAGAGAGGAGGATGCCGAGATCGCGGAGATCCCTGCAGATGGACCCCTTTCGGCTGAGGAGGAGAAGATCTTTGCCAAGATCAAAGGCAGTGGCAAGGGCAAACGTGGGAAAGGCAAGGCCCACAAAAACAAGAAGGCCAAGCGCAAGGCCAAGGCTCTTGCTGAAGAGGACAGCAAGAAGCCTGCAGCATCCCCGGTCAAATCGAGGTATTGGCCGAGTCCCAAGAAAGGGGCCAAGCCTAGCAAGTCGAAGGCCGTGTCTCCCAAGGCAAAGGCAAAGGCAAAGGGAAAGGCAAAGGCGAAGGCTGGGGCAAAGGGGAAGGGGAAGGGGAAGGCGAAGGCAGCGGCAAAGGCCGCTGCTTCCGTGCCAGAGCCCGTTGAGCCCGCTGATGCTCCTCCCGGTCCCGAGGTTGAGGCTGAGCAGGGTGATGCAGGAGTCCGATCCCGGAGCACAGTGAACATGCCCAGGCCGAAGCGCTCAGCTGAGGATGCTGAGCACCGCGCACGGCTCGCGTCCAGGCGCAAGGCCCTGCCGACCACGATCGACGGCATCATGGAGCACCTGAATGAGGATGATGAGTGCATGCGCATCGTTCTGGCCCAGCTGGCCTCCATGAATGACGCGATTCCGGTGCCGACGAAGGATGATAAGCACCTGCTGCCGGAGTACAATCACTGGCAGTTGTCCGTGTATTGGACGCGACAGAATGTCGGCATCCTGAGGAGGTCTCCCGATGGCCCGCCTACCTACTGCGGCACGATGAGTGGTGCTGGGTGGGGTGATGTGCGACTGGCTCTCGAGTCAGTGGAGCTGTTTGCGCCTGGTCCTGCATTGTCTTACATATAGAAGGTGTTCGAGGAATTTGGGTATCATATCACACATGTATCCAGGCAACATGAATCCAAATGCTGTTATATAAGCATACAAGCATGTATTGTTCATGTGTAATGTGTGGTGTCATGAGATGCTCGCTGAGATCACGTGGATGGGTGGAGACACGGCCGAGCTCACTCGGCGCCTGGACTCCGTGGATTGCGAGGATTACAAGGCTACCTTGAATGAGTGTGCCAGGTTTGCTGTGACCCTCTTTCGCCACATGAAAGAGACTGGGATTGCTTTTTGTGATCTCTGAATTTTAAAAGACTCTTGTGATTTTGGGGCTAGGAACAACTGCGAGCATGCGGCTGCTGGGAAGCATGGCTGAAATCTACATACTGTGTGCATGCACCCCTGTCTAGAACCGTAACCCTATAATCCTAGGGCCCCTAGATATATGCACCGTCTTCTATATCTATGCCTGTGCATAGTCGTGCAGCTGCAGCTCCCCAGTTGGACTTTGAACTTTGATCTTCGATCATTTGGGCTTCGGGCCTCAGCTTAGAAAGAGGCTGTTGATCACGTGGGAAAGTTCCCCAGTCCTACGTGCTAGGAAGGCAGCCTGTAGTTCGCTGATGCCGGGAGCCGCAATCGCAGCCGCCGCAGAAGAAAACCGCCCAGCTGCTATGCTTCTGCAATACCTGAGATCAACGGCACCCTGCAAACTTCCTCTCGATCCGAATGCCACAAAGGTCAGACGACAATAGATGGTACCACGTGCGGCCCTGAGCAACTTCGCGAGGGGATCGGGTTGATGGTCTATTCAGGGTTCCCTGGGTCTCTTTCTCTCTCTCTATATGTATGTATATGTATATATACATGTGTTCTGTATATGTATTTATACATGTGTAGGGTTTGAATACGGTAGCCTATATATATATATATAGCATACGTATCTATATATACATATATATGTAGGGTCTGCGAGGGTGCTTCTTTGTTTAAGTTCCCCGGAGAATCACGGATTCGCAACTAATAGTTTTCAGAAGGGATTGAAACTCAGTACGTCTATGTGTGAAAAATATAACATATTCATACAGATACGTTTACACATATGTAATATATATACACTGCTATTTCATTGTGTATATATATATATGTACACACATTGACGTACTGAGTTTCAATCCCTGGGCCCTTATACACCTGAACCTTGAAGCCTCAAACCCCTAACCCTAAATACCCTGGCACCCTAAACCCGCAAGCTTTGATTGGCACGAGGGCTGTTAAGCCTACAATACATCGGGGTCCCTACCAAGGAAGAACGTGTTGTGCAGCACGGTGCAACTCAGCTTGTAGAACTCAACATGCACTTCGTACACAGTGGAAAAAGTCCATTGAAAGAAGTGGCCCACCGGTATACCCCTCGAAGAAGCCTTCTAAGATTGCTTATC